TTAAGAAAAAAAGTCTCTGGAAAGATGTCATAGGTTTCCACAAAAATTAGGATGACTCAAGCCATTTTTGTTCCAATTTTAGTCAATAAAAACCTCAAAGACCCAATATAAGCAAAAGTGAAGACTTCAGAGTGCCAGAAAGACAAACAAGACTGTCAGACTTGCATTAGAAAAACCAAAGTGTCTGAAAGTCACTTAAGCACATCTCAAACGCAGCTTTTTCCAGAACTGAGCAAGATGCAAGCGTTTGCAAACATTGCATTTTAAATCAGACAGCTAGTGCCAGATGCTACAGATTTCTCAGATTCTACGTGACTATACCATGAGCTGGTCTCTAGCTGATCCCTTCTGATATACCCTATTCCAGAGCAGCCTCTAGAAAATGACAAACACTGACAGACCAGGGCAGCGTGGCCAAGGAGCCCTGATTTATTTCAGCTTTGAAAGGTTCCTACACTTGGCTTCTAGTTTCTTCAGGGAATGCAATCCACACGACTCAGCTTGCTGTCTGAATAAAGTGCATGCTTTTCTCATCTGGCAGAGTAATCTTGGGAAATGCTGAGGACAACCTGTCCTGGACTCCGACAGAGGCAAACCGGGGAGAGTCAGGTCATGCCGGGACACGAAGGGTTTAGGAAGCCTTGCTCTCTGGACACAGCTTACAGGACACAGACATGGAAGGGACAAGGTTCTAGTTTGTAGGGCACCTAGAAAGGAGTGACTTTCTTTTGTTAATGAGGTCTCATTGGGTAGCACAGGCTGGTCTGGAACTTGCTGTGTCAACGGGGCTGGCACTATGGCAGATTCACCTGCCTTTGCCTAAGGACTGGGATCAACAGTGTGAGCTGCCACAGTTGGCTGGAGTGGCTTTCTAAGCAATCACAGGAGAGATGAAATGGACACCCTGAGACCTAGGTTCTTAAACTCAGCCTTATCAAAAGGAGCCACATGACCTTTAGGCTTGCAATGCCTGAACAGTGAAGTGGACCGCAAAGGCAGAATGTGTGGTAAATTGTAACTCCTCTGCCTATGTCAATCCTTACACAGGGACTGTTGATGAAAGTCCCTATCAAGATGGTTCCCCCACCTTGATCAGAAGCTGTTCAATCCCTCCCAGCTCCATAACTTGCAGACAATAGGAAGGGGGAAAAAAGGCAGCTTGCAGTTCATTTGAGAAGCTTCTAAGGTAGACTAAGCGCAAAGGTGGGGTGCATAACCTAATAGCCACAGTAAATAATATCCATTGGTAATTACCTACTAAAAGTCTTAACCCTGGATATGTCAGTGTTTGGAGATGAGGTCTTTGGGAAGTAATCACGTCACAAGGGCTCCCCTTCATAAGTGGGACTGGCTGTCTTATAAAAGGGACGCCAGAGAGCTCTGTTGCCGCCAAGAAGACTCACATAAGAATGAAGCCATGTTATCACCCTAATCTTGGAAATATAGAATTAAATTTCTGTTGTCCATAGGTCATCGGGTTTATGGCACTTAGCTACAGCAGACTGAACTACAACCCCATAGACATTTGGAATGACAATTCCCATTTTTAAGTATAGGGCTGGGATGTGTTTAACTTTCAAAAGCTACCTCAAATTGCATGGAAAGAAGATAGAGGAATTCTTACATTAATCTGCATTTCTCCCAACAATCTTGGAGTAAACAGAAAAACTTAGTAAAACTTAGTTTTGTGACTTAGGAGGAAACACGCTCCAGGAAGCCCATGAGTCCTGAGGATTTAGAAGACATGACTCAAGTGGTTTTTCCATTGACAACACAGGCCCACCTGATCCTGGCCGGGCTGACCAAATAAACCTAACCCAAAGCCGGTAAACAAGTCAAGACAGGGATTTTTTTTTCATGGCCCAATCCAGGTCATCAAAACCCAGACTAACTACCAGGATGACAGGGATGGCATGTATTGGTTGAAACTTCCATATCAAACGACATGTCACTCTTTTCCGTTCTAGAACATTTTGGAAGGGTGGGAAGAAGAAAGTCGAGATAATTGTGGTAAAGTCTGTAAAAAGCTGTTTGCAGATATCTCCCTCTCAGAGGAGGAAATAACAAGCAAAAAATTCAAACAAAAAAAATTTTTTTTGAAGTCTGGAATGAAGTTTTTGGAAAGAAAGGTGATATACACGAGGTCTTTCACTTAAGACTTAGGGTTTTATAGATCTTAGGGTCACCTCAGACTTGCTTTGTAACGCAGCTGGGGATGACCTTGAGCTTCTGATCCTCCTGCCTCCACTTCCCAAGTGTTTATATTACAAATGTGGGCTACCGTGCCATCCAGATGAAATCTTAAAACGTGAATGTGTGCACGATGGTGCACTCACACATCTGTGTGTGTGTGGCAGTCAGAGAACAATGGGATGTGTTCCTCAATTATTTCTCCACCGTATTTTTTTGAGACAAGGTCTCTCACCAAACCCGGAACTCATCATTTCTGCTAGGTCAGCTGCCTAGGAGCCTCTGAGGCCTGCTTTCCTATGCTCTCCAGCACTGTTATTAGAGGTGTGTACTGCCAGGTCCCGCTTTTAACCGGGGGCTAGAGATCCAAACTCAGGTAGGTATTTATGACTATGCAGCAGGCACTTTATCCTCAAAGCCATGTTCCTTACCCCTTAAAATGCTTCTCGTTCCCTTGGCAAACCTACCTATTGAAGACGAGTGTAGAGGGTTATTGTTGCGAGCAGGTTGCTAAGATAGAACTCAGTGATCTGGGTCTCCAGTATCTACAACCTAGTGTAATCCTCTGTTTAGTGGGTGTGGACCGGTGGCTTCCTTCTAGTGACTGGAATACCAGCAAGATGAAACAATTCAATGATTGGGCTGTAAGAACTGTGGCTTCTGTTTGTTTCATACTCTTCCACTCTTTCTTGCTTACTTTGAAAAAAAAAATAGCTGTCATGTTGTGGTTCTACCAAGAAACTCACACGGCAAAGGACCGACCAGTTACCAGGCAGTGAGGAACAGAAGGCCGACTAGGATCTGTGTCCTGCTGGTGACCATTGAGAAAGCGAGACGCAGCTTGAGACTTTCTCTCAAGTGATCCTATACCCAAGCGTCGGCGAAGCTGTGCCGTTACTCTTGGCCTGCAGAAACTGTGAAATAACCAAGGGTCGCCGTTAAGCCACGAAGTTGAAGGAGCACTGTTTTCCTCAAGCAATAGATACACATACCTATTTAAGCCTCACTGATGACAGCCACTCACGAAGATGGAGACGTCAAAAAAGTCCACCTAGAGGGAGCTAGCTCCAGAGTGGTGCAAACACTCAAGAAATACTGGCTAGCCCTCCGAATACAATACGGTTAACATATCTGCAGCGATACTGAAAGAAGTCCATGAACACTGGGGCGGGGAGAGGGTAGTATAAAACAACATACTAAAACATGTTCTAAAACATCCTGTGCACGCCAGACAAGCTCCTCACCCAGTTCCAGCCTCAGAAAGAATTCTATACTAGGATAGATTTATATATGTGTGTATATAAACACACACACATATGCTCATTCCTGATTCTCTTCCTTCACACTGCTTATCCGGTCCTTCCGTAAATTATATAGTCTACATTTTAGCTGACATCACCTCTCACGCTCCCATACCACCTAACAGGAACTGCTCCCATGTGAACCACCGCTCTCTGCCTTCCCTGTATCTGCCTTTCCTCTACAATTTATTTCCACATCAGGGAACTTTAGAAATACAAGTGAAATCAGGCCACTGCCCTCTCTGAACCCTGAAAGGCTTCCCACCATACAGAATAAAAGTCAGAGCCATCCTGTTAATTCACGAAGTCTGGTCTACCAATCCTATCCCTGACCCCGCTCCTGCTTCTCCGGCTCTCCCATTATTTACTTGCTTCATCTTCACCGCCCTCTTTGATGTTTCCACAGCACATAAAATCTGCTATCACTCCAGGGATCTGTTAGCTTGCTAGGGCTCCTGTAACACAGCATCGAAAAGTACTTGGCTTCTAAAATGGAAAGGCACTGTCTCATTTATGGAAATTTGAAATCTGTGTGTTGGCAGGACCATGCTCTCTCTGACGGTGCCAGGGAACATCTGCCCTGTGCCTCTCTCTTTGCTTATGCAGTTGGCTGGCAATCCCCAGTGTCCCGTGGCTTGTAGGCTTGTTGCTCCAATCTCTATTCTCATCTTCACCTGGTGTTCTTGTGAGCATATATATCTGCAATCATCTCACTTCTTATGGAGACAGCTGTCGTTTGAGATTAGAGGCTCTTTCTACTCCAGTGGACCTCACTTCTATTTCTGAATAAAGTCACGTTCAGAGGTCCTACAGGTTAGTTTTTCAACGTGAGTTGCAGGTGGGGAGCATAATCCGACCCACAAGAGCCTTTGCAATCTCTGCTCCCTCTCCCTGAAAGGAAACCACAGTGTGGCTGCCACAGGGATGTGCCTTAGAGTCTTCTAACTGACAGGGAGCCTCAGGGGCCAGGAACAGCTGCTGTGCTTCCCAGAGGCCATTCCTAGTGCAAGGCTTGGCAAGGCAAGGACACCAAAGCAAAGCTGCCTCAGGGAGATGAAAACTCACGCAACAGGTGGCTTCAACTCCAAGACACTCCAAAAGCCTTGACAAAAATCTCAGGGCACTACAACGTGAGGATGCTTTCCCTCCGTTTTCCCTTTCCCTTACGACAGTCTGATGGATTCCCCAGTGTCCCAATAGCTAGTTCCTCCTTTCCTCCCACGTTCAGACAGCACATTCAGGAGGACTTTGCACTTCATTGCATGCTCTTTAAGAGTCATTTTGAAAGTCTTGGTTAATATTTAAAAAGGGGTTTAACAGTTTCCTTTTGCACTGGCCTCGGATCTTAACTAAGAGTTTGCTGTTGTAGTTGTGATGGAGGAGGGTTATCTGTCTATTGTGTTATTTTCATTGGTCAATAAAGAGACTGCCTTGGCCCCTTGATAGGACAGAAAATTAGGTAGGCGGAGTAAACAGAACAGAATGCTGGGAAGAGGGCTATGAGCCAGACGCCATGGAGCCAGCCACCAGGTCAGACATGCTGAATCTTTCCCGGTAAGCCACACCTCGTGGTGCTACAGATTATTAGAAATGGGTTAATATCAAGATGTGAGAGTTAGCCAGTAACTAACTCTCTAGAGGTAATGGGCCAGGCAGTGTTTAAAAGAATACAATTTGTGTGTTGTTATTTTCGGGGCTAAGCTAGCCGTGCGGGAGCCGGGTGAGGCGAAAAGCAGGCCTGCCCGCAGCTCCTCACTACATAGTTGGAACATAATAATTTCCCCAGAGGCTCAACTGTTTTAATAGTTGGGGTCCTGAGCTAGTGGCTCTGTTTGGGAAGGTTGTGGATCCTTTAGGAGGTGAAGGTTGATGGCCCAGGCCCACCCCACTTTCTGTTCACTCTGTGTTTAATGATTGCAGATGTAGGAAGCATGACCGGTCTCCCCCTCCTGCGAGCATGCTTTCCTCACCACGATGGACTGTATCCCCTTGAACCGTGAGCCAAAATGAATGCTCCTGCTCTTATTGCTTCTGGTGTCACAGCACTGAAGAAAGTACAAGAGAAGAAAAACTCCCTTGTGTTGTTAATCCCATCTTGGTGCCTCCTTCTTGGAGAACCTGAGCTAATCTCTCCAGTATCTGCATGATGCCTCATCTCCTTATGCAAGCCTTTGACTAAGGGTCCTTTGCCATCCAAAAAAAAAAAAAATACAATCATCCAACCTGGTTCTTCTTGCTTCATTTCCATGACTTTATCTGATTTTATTACATTTTTACTTACTGACCCTTATGCCTTTCTTTCGAGGGGATCAAAAATTTTGAGTTGTTCATGGCTGCACCCTAACAACTATAAGAAAGCCAGGAACACTATAGGCAATTAATAGTTTGTGAATATGTTTACTTTATAAATAAATAAATGTCACACTCAATTTATCAGCATCCCACTTCAACTCCAGTCATGTAAAATAGAACACAGGTGGCCATCACAAGAATGTACCTCATAAACTTGGGAAGTCAAAGCAATAGGCCCAACTACTTTCAGCCCTGTGCTGAGACTGAAATTCCCAAGGGAGGCCAGGTGATTTCCTTAGCCATGCAAGGAAAGCAGGCCTGACTGACAGAACTACACCATCAGAATTCCGGAAATCCATCTACATGGAAATAGAGTTAGACAAACCACCACTGTCCCCCAGGAAGCAGGCTAAGTCTGTATTGTGCTTTGTCACAGTCTCATATTTAAATAAAAAACACATCCAAAGATGAGGAGGTCGTCTACCAAGCACCAAGCCAATGCCATGCATAAGCATGTCACTAAGATTTACACTGTTTAGATTGCACAAGAGTCCTGAGCCAATACATCACCACAAAAATGTTCCCTGGACCAGTGAACCCTTCGCAGAAGCAAACTCACATTGCTTCGCAGGAATACTTCCTTCATAGCTCAAGGTTCACAAGGCTCCCTCAGGACAAACCATCTCTACTGAACAAGTCAGATGAAGATCTGAAAAAGCCAGATGAGAAATCACGTCCACAGCAAGCCAAACAGATAGCACCCCACGAACTGAGAGGAGGAGAAAAGCCATCATCTGCGAGATCTGCACACTAATAATGCTTACAACAAGTCTCTAACCAAAAAGAGAAAACCTAAGAAGCACTATCCTCTCTGAGAAAGGGAAAAAGAAGTAAATAGAAATCTTTCATGTTTCCATCTTTATTTGATTTGATTACATCTTACTTATTTGTGGGCGGGGTGGCTGAACTGGGGACGATGTCAGTGAGTTAGGGCGTGGCCATGTGTGGGGAGGACAACATGAAAGAGCTATTTCTCTCCTTCGACACTCGGTTCCAAGGATTGATCTTAGGTTCTAAGCAACTTTAGCAGCTGAGTCATCTCAAAAGCTTGTAAACAGAGTTGAAAAGATACAACACGAGCCAGGTATTGTAATCATAGCTGTACCCCTAGAGCTCTAGTCACTGAGATAGGAGTGTTGCTTTGAGTTTGAGGCTAGCCTGAGCTACTTAGGGAATGAGAAGGGAAAACATGGGAAAGAGCAATTATAGAATATGAAAACTAAGTTCAAGAAAAATTAAAGCATAAATTTAAACTGAATTCTAGGAAGTAATAGAGGCAATATTAAAGTTGACATGGTAAAGACTGAGAATTTTACAGAATTTAAGCAATATATAGTGTTCTATTTAAAAAAATTAGTCCTTGCTGTCTTTTTATTTTAGTAATATATTTAATTGTATAAAACAGTGATTTCACAATCTGATTGTACGCACTCCTTACTACTCTTAATATGTGTTCTTTTAAGGTGTGTGTGTGTACACGTGTGTGTGTGTGTGTGTGTGTGTGTGTGTGTGCGTGTGTGTCTAGAAGAGGGCATCAGATTTCCTGGAGCTAGAGTTATAAGCTGTCATGAACCACCATTCATGAATGCCGGAAAACAAACTTTGGTCCAAAGCAAGAGAGCAAATACTCTGAATCACTCCACCCCCTCAATGTGTGCTGAGTGAAAAAGTTACAAATAAAAAGCACAGTTTACACACACACACACGCACACACACACACACACACACCATGTACTGTTTTAAAAAACTTCAGAAAGTCAAAATAAAAAGGAAATCACAGAAACAGTAAGAGGAAGATAAATTGTTAAGTTAATAAAGGCAATCAGACTGTCAGCTGATTTTATATCAACGACACAGAAGATGACAGAATACAACAGAATGCCATTCAGAATGGCGTAAGGACACCACTTCCAGGCCAACAAACTAGCTTAGTGAGTGGGTAAAAGCACCTATTGCCAAGTCTAAGAATATGTGTTAAATCTTCGGCCCACAGATGGGAGAAAAAACCTGGTGACTTCTCATGTCCACAAGCACACACACATATACACAAAATTAATAAGCATCATGAAAATTTTTTATTTAAAAACCTTTTTCAAAGGAATGTTATGACCAAATCATTCTTCATACCCAACTAAATTACTGCTTCAAAGTGAGAAGAAATATAATATACCCATATAAGCCAGGCATGGTGGTTCATGTCTTTAATCCCAACACTTGGGAGACAGAGGCAGGCCAATCTCTGGGAGTTCAAGGCCACCCTGGGCTATACAGCGAGTTCCAGGACAGCCAAGGCTACACAGAGGGACTCTGTTTTAAAAAAAAATTACACATATATATGTATATATATATGCATATATATACATATATATTATATGTTTATATCCATACCAAAAAAATCAAGACCTCTGTGAGACCATAACCATCTATTTTATGATAAAGTAGACTGAGAAAAAGTGAAATAAATAATGATGAGCAAAACAGATTAAAAAATACCCCCTTTCCAGATTATCAGGGAGTTATAAACAAGTTATAGTTAAAAATACAGGGAGCAGCAATATGAATGGACCATTAGGTTAAAACAGTCTAAGGTCCTTACACTGCTAGATGGAGGAGGAACAAGTCTGAATAGTTTTATAAAACACAGGCATTACCATTTTATGGGAAATGAAAGAGGAGATGAAAGAAAAAAATAGAATGTCTAACTCCCAAAACCATGGAGGAGAGGAGAGCACTCAAACCACACAGGTCCACACCATTAAAAGCATGGTGAACACACTGTCGGTAGAGCCTCGCTAAAGGAAACTGAAATCCTGCCTTAGGGGCCAGGGAGATGGCTCCACAGATGGAGCACCCGCCACCACGTATGACAATTGGAGTTCAATCCTTTGGATCTACACGGTAGAAGGAGAGGACCAACTCCTAGGAGTCCTCTGACCTCCACACCAGTGTCCTACTGTGCACAGCAGCCCGTGGGTACACATATATGCACACAAGACAAAGTTTTTATAATAGAAATAAATAAAAGGACTTTGTAAAGGAGAGCTGTAGGAATGTGGAAAGTTATAATAGTCAGGTATAATGAAAAGACTAGGACAGAATGAAGCAAAAAGACAGTTAAATGAACATGCACATTATTATTGCTGTTTTGAGGGCAGTTGTTGAGACAGGGTTTCTCTGTGTAGCTTTGGAGCCTGTCCTGGAACTCACTCTGTAGGCCAGGCTGGTCTTGAACTCACAGAGATTCGCCTACCTCTGCCTCCCAAGTGCTGGAATTAAAGGCGCGGGGGCTACCACCACCTGACATATGCATTGGTTTTATAAAAGAAGCTATTGTAGGATTCTAAAGACACGGAGACCGAAAACACAGAAGTTAGGATTAGGATTGGAAGCACACATGGGAAGGGTGTGATTCCCAGGATGTGAAGGTATAGATCACTTTGGGATTTAGAGTCTGGGAAACACATGCTGTACCCACTAAAAGAGTCTAACAGCTGACAACCTTCTGAGTGGCTCTAAGGGAAAAACGGCAAACCCGAGTGACGATAAGAAAACAGGAGAGGAGAAAAACGTCAGGAATTGTGGCGCAAATGTGAGGCATAAAAGATCCCGCAGAAGTGAACTGAGAGACAACAGCAATGAGAACAAACGTAGACGAACTCGGTGCTCAGCAGAAAGATGCCCAGAATGGAAATGTCTGCTTGGGTAGAGGGGACCGTGGCGGTGAGTCAACAGCTAGGAAAAAGTGCGCTTGTCTTCAGGATCCAGGGCAGCAGGGGCCACGGAGGGTCCAGGACAGCAGCATGGACACTTCTCACCTTCTGGAGCCACTAGACAGCAAGGCAGTGTCGTGTCAGCCAAAAAATCGGAAACTCACAATCAGGAAATCTGATTTTTAAACTATATTTTCGTTTAACACACACACACACACACACACACACACACGGCAGAAGTAAGAGAGAGAGAGAGAAATGTTAATAATTCAGTCCACAGACACAAGAAGACAAAGCAGAACAGACACACATGGGAAAATGCAAAGTAAGTAAAACATCAAGATGAAAACAAAGAGTCAAATCAAAAGAACAGCCCTGGCGAACCTTCGCTACATGAATGGAAGCGACGTCTTATGCTCAAGAGCCACTGGCAGCCTCAGCCTGTAATTTCCACCCTGCTCAACCTTATCATTTGGCTGAGAGACCTAACATTACCAGATAGGAAAAATGCTGGATAATTCAAACGTAAAACACATGCAGCCCCGAGTGGTCACTCCAAACCTAAAATAAGGTCTGGAGTTCCGCATACGCCGAGGTTTCTCTGCGCCTTCCTGGATACCCGGACTTCCCAAGCTGTTCGGGGAAAACTCGTGATGTTAAAGGCACCCCACAAGCTGGGAAGCATGGGAAAGAGAAGGAAGACAAAGAAGAGAAATGAGGAGGAGGCAGCACGAGGAACACTTCTGCTTCTTACTTCACAGCCCTGGGGAGGAACCAATGTTGCGGGAGCTGGCTCAGGCATCAGACTCGACAACCAAGACGATAGTTACTTTCTTCTGCGGTGATGGGGCTGCTGCTGGCAATTAGAGCAGTCGGGGTGGGACTGGACCCTTTCAGGTGCTAGGAGCTGCCTTGCCAGTGGGCCTGCCTTAAACACTGGCTCATAGTGCCCTCTGCCCAAGCAGGCATTTCAGTTCGGGCCGTCTTTCGGCGGAGCACTGAGCTAGCTGCTCTACATTTGTTCTCACCGCTGATGTCTCTCGGCTCACTTCCGGCGCCTCACATCTGCGCTACAACTCCTCAGGCTCCTTCTAACTACGCGGGTCCAGAACCACTCTGGAAGTTGTCACCTCTTCCCTCTTTTAGTAGGCACAGCCTGCATTTT